AGCAGGGAAGATGATCAGTGAATTGAAGCTGTAGCAGCCCTTTATCTGTTGGGTAACAGAGTTAGAGATCATGATATCCTGCACATATGGCTGATAGTACTCTGCAGGAAACTCTTGATAGCTTCATATAAGTTAATCTCCAACAGAAAGTCAAGAAAATGCTATATATCCATGTGATCAGATTCTTATACGAGGAATATAAGTTGCTTTAATTCTTCTCAAAGCAGTACATAGTAAGTTGTCTTATTTCCTTAAAGGAAGGGAAAATTTAATGTGTATTTTCACTAAACTTCCTTAAGAAAATCTAGCATGTGAATTTTGCTTCTTCATCCCGTATGTTTTATTCCAACCTTCCGATGCTCTGCTTGCCCATGTTAATTTTTTTCAACATTGACTTTTAGACAAAAATATTGATCTAGTGACACTATCAGTCTATCATGATCATTGCATCATTGGATAGAAATAATTGAGCTTTATTTTTTATTCTTCCAGGAAAAAAATTATATGCTTGAGTTATAGCAGACACTACTGGTCAACTGCTCCAACACCTGTTCCCATATCTGTTTCCCCTAGCTACATTTTAGCTACTTGTGGATACTATTGGCCAAAGAATGGTGAGTAGAAGTCTGCTTCTGTGTTCCTAGAAAGCCTTTGCTTTCTTGACACAGGCGCTACTGCACCTTCACATTCCTTCTTCCCACTGGAGATGGTTGCATTGACAGCAGCAATGAGTTATCAGCTCCAACAACTCAGAGCCCTTGAATCAATCCAACAGCTGACTTGCTCTACACTTCTTGTTACGTGAGCCAAACAATCTATTTGTTTAAGCTGTGTAAATGGTGTTCTGCTAAAAATGTTCCTGTTTGATATACTTTGCTATGTATAGCCTTGACTCTCCTCACAAATAAAAGTAAATGTAATGGTTAATTTTATGTGTCAACTTGAATGAGCTAAGGATTGCCCAGATAGTTCATAAAACATTATTTCTGGGGGGTATCTGTGAGGATGTTTCTGAATGAGATTAGCATTTGAATCAGTGGACTCAGTAAAGTAGATTGCCCTCCTCAGTGCAGATGGCGTCATGCAATCTATTAAGAAACTGAATGGAACAAAGGACAGAGGAAGGAGGAATTCACCCCTTTTTCTTCTTGCCTCCCTGCTTGAGCTAAGACATTGATCTTCTGCCCTTGGACAGCTCCCCTCGTTCTCAGGCCTTCAGACTCAGATTGGAATCACACCATTGGCTTTCCCGGGTTGCCAGCTTGCAGATGGCAGATCATAAGGCTTCTCAGCCTCCATAATTGCATGAGCCAATTCCTCAAAATAAATACATACATATACTTATATACATATATGTATGTATGTATATGTATATCTCCTATTGGTTCTGTTTCTCTGAAGAACTCTAATACAGTAAGGATCAGATAATAGAAAGTATATAGTCCCAAATATCTTCATTCTTACCGTCTACAATTTTTGCCCTGATCAGGTTATGAGGATTAACTGGGAATTGAGAAGACGAAGCTAATCTAGAAATAAATTTCAGTTTCAATCTTGCCAATTGCATCCCTCTAATCCATTAATGGCCAGTTTTAATAAATCATTGCTTTTGAATCAGGTTTGCTAAAAATTGAATGAGAATGATTATTTTAACTATTCTGACATATTTCCCTTGGTACTACATCTCATAAATTCATCTTTATGTGTGAGTTAGTAGAGAGAAATGTCCTGCAAATGAAGGAAATAATTTTGCCACCAATCTCTAGGTAAATTCAAATAATGCATATATAAAATTAATATATATAATTGTATATATTTTTCATTTCTTCCATATCTCCATCTCTGAATGACTTATCTTTTCTAGTTAATCACACCAACAGAGGTTAAAAAAATAACCATTGGAATTACCTTGCTTGTGCGGACTACAGAAAATAAGACAGAGAAGTTTGTATGTGATACCTGTGCTATAATAGTTATGTATCTTGCATAAAGTTCTGCTATCTTTTTTACCAAGAGAGTATGAGTATGGATTTACAGGAGTGAGAAATTAAACCCAAATGAAAGAAGAAGAGATTATATTGATTGTAGCACTGACCTCATTGAGGTGAAAAAAAAAAAAGAATTCTTAATTGTATTCTTTTGGCTAAATACCAGAAAAAGCTGTGAAATGTGAAAAAAACATAAGGGGATGTATGGAGGAGATATAATGACTTGTCTATGAAAGGTAGATGTCTAAGGTATAAGAGAAATGAATGAGTCATGTTCCAAACAGATTAAATATGGACCTAAATGATTGACACAGTTGCCTTGAAATATATAACACATTAAAGTTAAAGGCCGAATCACTCAAGATGCTGAAAACAACAAGCAATCGATAACTTGTTAATCTAGACCCATTGTATTTGGACTAAACTTGTCTGAGGCTTAAATCTCAGATGAACTCCATCGTCTCCTCTCACATCCAGTCTCTTCACTGAAGTCTGTACGTATCTGAGGGAAACATGAGCTACACATGCCCTCTCCTGAGACAAAAGTCAGCCTAAAGCACTCTTATGATGGACTCTTTCTTTTTTTGAATGACAGCTGTGAACTCTTTTTTGAAGAGTTCATCATAGTTTGAACCTTAGCACTCTGCCTCACTTAGCATATCTCCTTGGACCTAAGGTAGACATCTAGATTTTTTGGTAGTTATGAAGTGGTTTGATTCAAAACCTCTGTCATAAAAGAACTCCTTACACAAGATATACATATAAGCCTCAGTGGTGGGAATTTGAATGTGAGAAATACAGAAAAACTCATCGACAGTGGTATGATGTAGGATAATGAGATACGGTGAGATGGTAGCAAGCAGAATCCATGATTAAATAGAAGCTGTGGTATAGGGGGAGAAAAGAGCTATACGTGGGACAGAAAGTGACTGAGTTACCATAATGGTAACTCGTTAGATTTAGGTTTTACGTAGAATGGCATTTCATTTTCTATGTGGTGTGACCGTACAATCATTGATAGGGTTTCTTGTCGTCTTTACTTCCCAATGCATCCTTACAATGTTTTCCTAGTAATATTAGTTTGAATACATTTCTGCAACCTGAAAAATTCTGAGTAATGCAGTACATGAGCACAAATCCTTACATTCTGATCTGAGTGTAAATTTTACTGGATGCTGAATTATGCTGAGGTCAAACCTCAGGCCAGAAATCGAACTTTGCCATGTTAGGAAACAAAGTTGCCTGTTTTTGTTATTTGTTCTCTTTGCTTATTTGTTGGAAAATAATATTTGTTTTTCTATCTTTTAACAAATGCTCTATTTGAAACTCTAAGCAAATCCACAATATTTTCACTGTATTCAAAACAGAAAATAATCAAGGCTTGATTAGTAACACTGGTTCCTATCTCTTGGTTGAAATAATTAGCATTACCTCAGAATTCAGATACATTGTTTAACTATAGCAAACAGTATAACATCCCTCCGGTCTGTCATCCTATATCGTCCTCTAAGTGCAAGTCACTCCTGTCATCTGTCTCTACTCCACTCTCACCCCTATGCTGCTCTGTACTTCTTCTCCTCTGATTTAATCTCTCACTATAGGCTTCCTTGCCAACCCATTCCCCTATGCCATCTGGAACACCAGTGCACAGTTGAAAACAAAACAGAGCAACACAAAATTACAAGGCGTCAGCATAGTCACTGAATGTTCTCTACTCCTTGCCTTAAATACAGTCTTTCTCTCCCCTAAGTCTAGTAGGGTCTTTACAAACATATTGGGTGATTAGAGAAGGTTCATTCTTCCATTACGTATATACAAAGATAAGGGATGATGGAGGGAGGGAGGGAGAATGGCAGTTTCAAATTTTTTTTATGATTATTCTTACTCCTTGAGACTTATTTCCTTTCACACTCAGGCAAAGACACTTCCTATGTAAAATGACCAACCATTGCTGTTTGCCTGGAACTATCCTGATTTTAACACTGAAAGTCCTGCACCCTGGGACATCCCTTGGTCACAGGCAATAGTGGTCATCCTAGATCTTCAAGTGCTGTCACCCCACATCCCTCCTGTAAACATAATTCTTGATACCATGAGACTGCACAGTCAAATATGGCTTCTATTTCTATTGCTTGACTGAAACTACCGAAAATTTGAAAGTCTTCCTATTTGATGAAGTGCTCTCCTTTCTAGGTTTATGAGTCAAAAGTCACTTCTAGTTTTTCTCCTCTCTTTCTGGAAACTTGTCAAGCACTTTAAGATTTCTATGACTCCATTTATATTTATATGTTGGTGTTTCCCATAAGCCTTGTCCGTTACCCCTTATTCTCCTCACTCTATGTGTTCTCCATGGATGGACTCACTTAATTCCATTGGATTTAATTATCAATCATATACTAATGATCTCCAAATCCACGCCACATTTGATTTCCCCCATTTACCTATTACGTACTGGACATCTCCACTGGAAGTTCCACATTCACATTAATGTGTCCCAAACTGAATCCTAATCTTTCTCCTGCTCTTCTATTTCTGATTTTGGTGGAAAACACAAGCATACACTCAAAGCCTTAATTAAAAAACTGTGACTCATTCCATTCATCTCCCTTACAGCCGCCATCCCCACCATCCTATTCCAGACACAGTGTCCAGTCTGACATATTCCACCTCGTTGATACATCTCTTATATGCCACCCTTATTCATACAATTTATCAACCAAACTAAGATATATTTGAGAGCAAAAGAGGATGCTAATCAGACAAAATACTGGAACACAAAGTGTGTCGATTGAGACCCTTTATGATCTTTGGGTTAGTAGAGGTTTACCAAAGAAATAGAACCAACAGAAACCAACAGGGTGTGTGTGTGTTCGTGTGTGCATGTGTGCATGTCTTGCACAATTGGCTCACATGATTCTGGGGTTGGCAAATCCAAGATCTGCAATTCAGGCCTGCAGGCTGGAGACCCAGGGAAGAGTTGATGTTGTAGTCTCAAGGAAGGCAGTGTGGAAGCAGAATTCATTCCTCTTAGAGGACTTCAGTCTTTTTTCTTAAGGCTTTCAACTGGTCGAGTAAAGCCTATCCACATTATAGAGGGAGCAATTTGCTTTCCTCAAAGTCTACTGATTTGAATGTTAATCACATCTAAAAAAAATACTTTCACAGCAACACCTAAACTGGTGTTTAATCAAATATCTGGTTACCACAGCCTAGCCAATTTGACACTTAAAATTAACTATCACAGTTTTGCTTAAAACACATTTAGCTTGAATATCTGCCCTACCATTTGTATATTAGCAGATTCAGAATGAGTCATTTTATCACGTATATCCTCCAGTCACCCCACACAACTATCCATTGCCCTGGATGGCTTCCTTATTCTTCTGTAAAGGTTGATTACAGCTTCTTCAGGATCCTGTGGCCTGGTATGCAAATATCTGTCATAGAAATGTAATCTTGTTTGTTAATCATTGATTTATATGTGTTAGTGAACTCCGTATTACTTGAGGACAGGTGCCAGATCTTATTCAACATTATATCCTTTAGCCTTAAGACAATATCTGTCTAATAAGTAGATGTTGATAAAAAAACCATCATGTACATCTACTATTGTGAAATATTGTGCTCAAAATTCCTGGTGAAATAAAATAAAAAATGCAGATCTTGCCCAAAAGAGCATACAAAACAATCGAGAAGATTTACATAGAAATAAATGATTTTATGTATCATAAAATAGGAGCTTGTACTTCCCACAGTATTGAAGCCGGGTACTTGAGGGTTACTGTAGGTATTCAGTAAGTTTTCTTGTTTAACCTGATGGGTGACTCAGGGGTCACAAGGATTTGTGAGCTTGTTTTTCAGAAGAAAGAGAATGCCTTTGGGGAGGTTGTGATCACCTATGACCAGCCCCCATCTGCTGTTTACACCCAGAAGTCAGATTGCCCAAGGGCTTCTCTGGAGTGAAAGATTACCCTTTTGTCTCTCTGAAACTCCTCCTGCCAAACCCCTTAGCTCTATAAAACCCCCTGCTTTTTTCTCTTGTTAAGGTGGATTTGAGAGAACACATCCTCCTGCCTTCTCATTTTGGCCAATTTGAATAAAATCTTTATCTCCAAGCATGATGCTTCAGGGATTGCCTTACTGCACATCGGGCATACACACTTGAGATTAAGAAGTTCCATATCAGTGGCCGGCCTGGTGGCGCAGTGGTTAAGTTCATGCACTCTGCTTTGTTGGCCCAGGTTCACAGGTTTGAATCCCAGGCGCAGACCTCCACACTGCTCATCAAGCCATGCTGTGGCGGCATCCCATATACAAAATAGAGGAAGATGGGCACAGATGTTAGCTCAGGGCTAATCTTCCTCAGCAAAAAGAGGAAGATCGGCAAGGGATGTTAGCTCAGGGCCGATCTTTCTCACTAAAAAATAAAAAAGAAAGAAAGAAAAAGAAGTTCCATATCAGTATGTCACAGAGTAGAGCATGCATAAGAGAGTATTAGAAGAAAAATCTAAACATTGCCATACCACACAGAAGAGAAGTTTTAGAGTACATTCTGCTTTGTTCCCCTGGTGACAAATTTGTTTTATTCTAGCACTTATTTGTGGTGAAAAAATTACAAAATTATCCCAAGATTCAGTTTCTCTATCTGCTACTGTGAGTAACAATCAAAGTGTAGTAAAATTACAGTACAGCGAAGGTGAAGCAAGAAAGAAACAAATTAATTATGTAAACATTGCCTTAAATAGCAAATTTTCTTTGTGTGACACTTTCAGGCAGTATAAATGATATTCTCTATTTGACAACAGGGAAAGACATGCACAAGATTAGAAGTGATTTTCTGGAGGAAGTGACTTTCAGGTACTCTGAAGTCCATCTCTGTCTCCAGATAGAGTTGTTCTTGAACCTTCCTGGACAGGTGGCGATCAGTGCTCCTCCTCAGGGAGGAGTCCAGTTTTATTAACAACTGCCATTCAACTCGACCTAAGCTGCCAAGTAGAAATATCGTATGCTGACTTGAGCTTATTTATATAGTATTGTTTCAATTGTCTCAATCAGAAAAAAATAGCTTTTCTAGCTGTGAATTTTCAGTGAGAGAATTGAGCTCGGTAAGCCTAAAATCAAGTTCTATAGCTTCTATTGGATTTCATTTTTATTCCATTTAATGGGGAGTTAATCTTTCTTTTATATTCAGATATTTTCAAATTGTGTACCTAAATAAAAATAACTGTGAAGGTATATTTCATCACCTCAGTTTTAATTCAGATTCCACTGCTAAGTATTGCCTTGAAAATCACAGACTATAATATAATGATCATTAATTAAGATGTTAGAAGCATTTTAAAATAAACTTGCGTTGAACACATATTATTGCTCTTAGTGCCCTACCATTCACTGAGAGGAGGGCTTTGGCTCTCTATTTTTTTTCTTGGTTCCATTTCCTTATTTTTTTAAAAAAGTGAGTTAACAGTTTCTCCACTGGAAAAAGCAATAACAAATGATACACAGATTACTGGTTATTTTTAGAATGTTTACAGAAGCTTTACAGATGGCAATCTGTTGGAGAAATTGAAGCTGATTATAGTTTGAAATACAATAAACACATTTACATTCTAGAGAGAGCACATTCTACTTCATTAAAAGCATTGAAAATTGATGGTTCAAGTACATTAATACCTCAATTAACTGATACTTGACTTGCCTAGAATTTTAATTAGCTATGTTCTCCCCCAGATTTGATTTTTTGGAGATAATGATAAATGAGGGGGGGAAATCCCACACTGGTATAACATGAGCAACAACTTTAATCAGGCCATTTTCCCATTCAAACATCTTCAGTTAGTCTCCTTGACTTTCAATCTTCTTCCCAATAACCTTGCACTTTTCTAATTTCCACATGCAGCTGGAGTTATCTTGTGAAATGCAAATATCCTCCATCCTCACTCTAGTTTAAATGTTTGAAGACGCTTCTATCTTCTTAGATTCAAGAACATTTCCTTGAAATGATCTACAGCCTCTTCACGGCCAACACCCCACCTTCCTCTCCATCATCACATTATACCACACTGCACCTTGCCTTCTTCTCTAACTGCAGTGGCCTTCTATCATTCCTGCGCCATGTTCCTCCTCACTCCTGCCAAAGGAGTATTTTTTTCTGCCTGGAAATCTCTTTTTTCCCCTCTAGCCTAGCCAATGTCTAGACATTGTACCGTAAGAGCAATAAATCTAAAACATGAGTAGAGTCCAGTTTAATCTGTACTTCTTTAGGGGAATCTTCTCTGACATCTCTCACTCAATCAAACTGCATTATCTGCTCTCTTAACACATATTTCTCTTCATAATAATTATCATAGTTGAAATTTAACAAATATTTTTGTGAAAATTGTATTAATATATGCATTTCTTGCTTATACACCACCTAAAGGATGCCCAAATGCATGAAGTGTTTTGAATTTCAGGTACTTTAATAGCGTTATTTGAGACCAGAGTGGAAGCCATTCACAACGCTCCTACCCACATGTATTTATGGGACCAACTTTGATGTACTGCCAGTAAATTCAGTAGATACCTACAGTGCAGAACTCTCCCCTCTACCAACGTTACCAAACCAAAAGTGGGTTCACCTCCTGGCAAGTTAAAATCGGACTATTTAGCAGAAGTAGTTGTCACACAAAGTAGAACTTATTTGCAGCAAATCGGTGGCCACATGGAATCATTTCCAAAGTGGTGGCTGTCCCTAAACATGGGAAAGCAGGGGCCTTTTATTTCTGATGTGGAATGAATATTCAAAAGGGAGAGGCAGACATTTGCTTGCACAGGCTCAGTTGGACAACCTGCTTCCACATACACCGTAGGTTACAGTAAGAAGGCCTAAGCTCCTCCCAGAGAGGAGATCTTAGCATTAAAAATGAGGCAAAGCTCATAGGTGTGGCTCTTGTGGTGGGGCTTGGTTCAGTGTGGTTGGTGCATCTCTTAAACAGTTAAATGCTTCCCAACCCACCTTTGAGTTCCTCTGGGCAATCAGTCTGTGACACCAAGTCAGACAAAATTCAGTAGAAAAGAAAAAGATAGTAACACATAGAAGTCTATGATTTCATAATTTGAGAGTTGTAAAAAGGACTTAGGAATGGATTGCTTCTATAGGGAATGTTGGGAGACCCCAGGAAAGAGAGTTTAAAAAAATAGAGTGGTGGATGAGTTTAAGGGAAATGGTGGCCATAGGTGAGGGAGAAAGAAAAGAGGATGAGACATGAGGATGTGACTCTGAAATCATGAATCAAACACTACTGGCTGATGTCCACCCCTACTCCATGCACGTATCTGGACTCTGTAAGACTTTGAAACACTTCTTAACACTTTTGTGTAGGACCCCTGAAAACTTCAAAGGGTATCTTTTTGAACTGGTTTGTGTAAGTCATGTGAAATATTATCAGGAGCAGGTACTGACCTTCTCCATGGCCATCATTGACGGCCATCAGCAGTACAGTTATCGAGGATGAAGGAACAACAAGGAATATCTACTAACACAGGAAAACGTAGATATACAACTGTAGAAACAAAGTAAATTCGACAACATGACTTCCCCCATGCCTTATCAGAAATAGCTTTGTGGGCCTGCCACATAAGTATTTTGCACACACACACACACGTACATATGTACATATATATATATATTTTCACACTCACATATACTTAGACATAGACGCAGAAATCAATATAAATATGTATCCATCGAGAAACAGAATGAAAAAGTCCTGATAAAATTTAATCAGTCTGAAAAAAATTTTGTGATGTATGCCATATCTGTAACTCAATGTGGTTTATGATGAGACCATTAAAATAGATTGATTTGTTTCCTATTCTTTAACGTTACTTTTTGTCCAATAGAAGCATGGTTTAAGAAGAAAAAAAGTCTTTGACATAATATTTTTCAACTCTCCTAAGCTTATGATTTTCTGAATTATGTAGTTTAAATCTGAATACTAAGAAATATGTAATTAGCTATTTTAAAAAACACGTATTGGGCCAGCCCTGTGGCTTAGCAGTTAAGTGTGTGCGCTCCACTACTGGCAGCCCAGGTTCCGATCCCGGGCGCGCACCCAAGCACTGCTTCTCCAGCCATGCTGAGGCCGCGTCCCACGTACAGCAACTAGAAGGATGTGCAACTATGACATACAACTATCTACTGGGGCTTTGGGGAGAAAAAAGGAGGAGGATTGGCAATAGATGTTCGCTCAGAGCCGGTCTTCCTCAGCAAAAAGAGGACGATTAGCACGGATGTTAGATCAGGGCTGATCTTCCTCACAAAAAAAAAAACAAACATGTATTACTTGTAAGCTTAATATATTTTGCTCTGATGAACAATTACTAGTCTGAGGATTGGATAAATGTATTTGAAGTTTCAGAGCTCTGAGAGACTTTTGTGACCATACACTCATTCATTTATTCATTCAAGTAATACTTACGGATTGTCAGTCCTACAGCTGATAGAAAATGGGTAAAATATGATATCTTTAAGGAGTATCTACATATGAATCAAAATGTTCTAAATAGCTAGTGAGATCAGGGAAAATACTTTGCGAGTTAAGTCTCAGTTCACAGCAGGGAGTGCCTGCATCTATAGGGACAATCAGAAAAGTTTCACTGAGTAGGCATGACAGATGAATGCAAAAATAGATCACTAATGGATTTTTTTTAAAGGGCAATGGAATTCTTTCTTCAAATATAATAGTTTGTTGGACCCTAGGAAATAAAATTAATAAATATATTTGGAACAGTAGGGGATAGTTGAGAACCACCACTAAAGCCTATGTCCCCCAATATACTTCCATAAAATCCAGATCGCTCTCATATACAAGACAGTTTTTGCAAATAAGGAAACTGAGGCTAAGTGTCTTAACCTGTGATCACATAGTCAGTTAAGAGTTGACAGCTAGTTGACAGCAAAATAAAGAGTAGAACTTAGATCTTCTGACTTATATTTAGGATGGAAGATGTAGAAAAACAAATGGGGATTTTGGAGTCAGACATTTGACTTGAC